TCAAATCTTTACATCAGTCCAAGTATAAGAACTGACATGGGACTTGGTTCCAAGGTATCTGCTGTGCCTCTGCAATATAAAAATACGTACTGATTGAATTTATTAGGTTTTTTTTGGCCTTTTGCAAGCAGTTCCTGCTGCTATTGTGGTTTGGAAAAGGGTCAAGTAATGGAAGTATTGCTCTGACCTGGATAGCCCAGGCTAGTATTTGGATGGGAGACCTCCAAGGAACACCAGGGGTGTGATGCGGAGACTGGCAATGGCAAACCATCTCTGAACCCCTATGGGGTTGCTGTACGTCAGCTGTGACTTAACGGCACTTCCCACCTCCACCACCAAGTAAACTTGCCAAGTATTAACTACAAGTTTAATTGTTCTTAAGTAACTCCTTACATTAATTAAGAAAGGGATGATGTGTTTCATCCTTAGTCTGCTTCAGCAGTTACCTGTCAACATACAGGGCCTCAGTTCCTCACTACTGTATTCATAAGCCATTTGTGCAGCCCAAGACATTGTGATCTGCCACTAAAAGTGATAAATGCAGCTTGTAATAGGTTTAAAGATTGCTAAAATTCATACTTGCACATGGGGTACTCAAGACTTGTATGTACTTGTGCTCAAATTTTTAAGTTCTGTGACCAAACATTGTTCTGCAACCTGGTCAGTGAGGGAAATAAAACAAATTATGTATAATTTGCAGCTCTTGGTGCTAGGCATAAATTTTGCATAGCTTCTCAGGAACAATAAAGAATTATACAGTTCACTGAAGGCCTGCCTCCAACCAGTGGAAATACTCAGCCACCACCCTGGAAGCCTAATATGGGAAGCAGACATTGCCACACTCTGGTCTCTGAAGCCCTGAGAATACTTCATTCTTAGTGGCTTCAATGGAATTTTGTGGTTCATTTTCAGTGGTTTGACGTGTATTAGTAGCCTGCACTGAATCTAACTAAACCTTCAAGTGTATCCAAGATAGTCTGGTACTTCTTCACTTGTGATATTTATTTTTAAAAGAGTTTGATTCCAGTTTATTATTTTTTATGTATTGTATTAAAAAAATGAAAAACATTTGTCTGTATTACCTGATTAAATATTTGCACTTAATTGACAGCTAAGGGTTCCTTCACAACATGCAAGCTGTGCTAATTGTACTAACATCTGTCCAAAGAGGAAGCTTGTAAACACTCCCTTGGGACATGCCCATCTCCCTACTACCACAAGCAATGGGACCTAAAAGCTGCTGTAGTACCATGACACACCTCCATTCCAATTTTCTATCTGGATATACCCAAGGCTGGCTAGTAATGAAAAACATAAGAACCTTGCTGGATCAGACCAGAAGTCCCTCTAGTCCAGCATCCAGCCTCACACAGTGGCCAACCAGTTCCTCTGGAGGTCCAACAACAGGGCATAGAGGCTGAGGCCTTTCCCTGATGTTGCCTCCTGGCACTGGGATTTAGAGGTTTACTGCCTCTGAATGTGGAGGTTCCCTTTAGTCACCATGGCTAGAAGACACTGATAGACCTATTCACCATGAATCTGTGTAATCCCCTTTTAAATCCGTCTATGCCTGTGACCATCACTACATCCTCTGGCAGCGAATTTCACATTTTAATAACGCACTATGTAAAAAAGTATTTCCCGGACTGGATCACACAACAGCACAGTCAGAATTCCCCTTCCTGTCCCCACAAAACCAAGAGATGTAACAGAAAAGAACAACCCTAAACAGAGTTCTGCCCTACTAAGCCTGCTGACTTCAATGCATTCAAAAGGTTCGGGTTCTGGGATTTACTTCAAAAAGGGAGAGAAACAGCAAGCTGTTTCAGAGGCTTCTCCCAAAGAATGCCTGGAACCACAAGGAGAAAAGCGGCTTACAAGACAGCAGCATATACTTGAAAAGGAAGTCTACAAAGGCAGGTCTTTCCCAAGCATTATTACAATACGCACTTCGATTTGGCCACTATTGTCAAACACATCAAATATGTGTTCAAAAAGACAAACAGGGCTATTTTTGAATTTCATTCTGACTTTCAGAAAAAGAAAAGCACACAGCTAAAATGTTGAATTGCCTCGGGCAGAAAATTTAAATATTTCCGTTTAACTCCTCTGTTTATGAAGCCCGAGCTAGAAATCAGAGAACTAGAAATCAGAGAAAGACCATTTAAACATATGCTACACCATAACCTTAACTGGAGCACAAGTTGGCACTCAAGTACAAAAGCCTCTGGCTCGTATTCAAGCCTCTCCTTTCAAAAGACCAGAACGGTTCTGCCACTTACTTGGGGTGGGGGTGGAATGTGCACCAATTCCCCCTTCCTGCTTAAGCCCCTGGTGCAGCACTCCATACTGTTCCTGAAGGTCCTACTGACCCTCAGAAGTGACTTTTGAGAGTGCAAGAGGCAACAGCTGAAAGAGGGAGGCAGGAAAGCCACACACTGGCCATACTTTTCAGCCAGACTGGCTTTCAAAGCAGCTTACAATTCAAACCCACAGCAATGAGTAATTCATACAACAGTTGGCACTGAACTGATCCTCAAATCCACTTGCTTATTTTCAAAAAGGGCATTCTTCAGTGACTGACACACTGTTGGATCCGGGACATCGATCAAGCCAGTCCGCAGCTTGTGTGTGTGTGTGTTATGTTGCTTCTGACTTATGGCGACCCTATAAGTGAAGGTCCTCCAAAATGTCCCATCATTAACAGCCTTGCTCACATCTTGCACACTGAGGGCCATGGCTTCCTTGATTGAATCAATCCATCTCATGTTGGGGCTTCCTCTTTTCCTGCTGCTTTCAGCGTTTCCTAGCAGTATTGTCTTTTACAGAGACTCTTGTCTTCTCATAATGTGATCAAATTACGATACCTTCAGTTGGTCATTTTAGCTTCTAGGAAGAGTTCAGACTTGATCTCATCTAGAATCATTTGTCTTTTTGGCAGTCCGTGGTATCTGTAAAGATCTCTTCCAAAACTACATTTCAAATGAATCAGCTTTCTTCCTGTCAGCTTTCCTTATTGTCCAATTTTCACACTCATACATACTAATGGGAAATACTGTGGTATGAATTGCCTTGGTCTTGGTCACCAGTGACACACCCTTACACTTAAGGATCTAGCTCCTTCATGGCTGCTCTTCCCAGTCTCAATCTCCTTCTGAATTTCTTGGTTGAAGTCTCCCTTTTGGTTGAAGACTGAGCCAAGTCATTGTTTTAAATGCAGTTCCGCAGGGCCTGCAAGACGGAGCTCTTCTACCAGGCCTTCGACTAGGAGCCACCCCCCAATATTAATTATAATCCCTGTCCTTTGGAGTCACCAACAACAGTCTGTGCCGGCCACATAAGAAACAGAACAAGGAGGGGATCAACAGGATAGGTCATCAACTTGCCGCTGCCGTCACCAAACATCATCATCATTATTATTGCCAGACAGCCGCAGCAGCAGCAGAAGAGGAGGAGGAGATTGGATCTATATCCCGCCCTTCACAACCCAAAGGTGTCTCAGAGTGGCTTACAAACTCCTTTCCCTTCCCCTCCCCACAACAGACATCCTGTGAGGTGGGTGGCGCTGAGAGAGCTCTGACAGAAACTGCTCTTTTTCAAGAACAGCTCTTATCAGAACTACGGCTTGCCCAAGGTCATCCAGCCAGGTGCAAGTGGAGGAGTGGGGGATCAAACCCAGTTCTCCCAGATTAGAGTCCGCGCACTTAACCACTACACCAAACTGGCTCTCAAAACTAGCACTTTATGACATTTGGATTGTTTTTAGAAGGTTTTATGATTGTTTTAACTGCTATCTATGTGTTTTAATTCTTTGTAAGCCACCCTGAACCTGCTTCGGTGGGGAGGTCGAGGTATAAATTTGATAAATAAATAAATCCTGATTTTGCTATTAAAAACAATATCTAAGCAATGTAATGATAGAAGACGTTTATTGGTTTTACACTACATTGAGTGCCAGCCCACTTTTTTCTAGTTTGTTATTGTTAACCTTTAGATTTATAAACTGCTTGTATTACATCCATTAGTTTATCTTGTTGTTATCTCTTACATTGTTTTATCATGTTTATGAAAAATTTGTAAAAAGTAAAAAAAAAATAACAGGCTGAGCAAAATAATAGAAAATCTTCACCATCAACCTCAAACCTGAACTGCAGGCTGTGGAAGGTCAGTAGTTCAGCGGTTCAAGACCCGAGTGCCGCAAGACAGGGTGAGCTCCTGTCTCTAGTTCCAGCTCCTGCCAACCTAGCAGTTCGAAAGCAAGAAATTGCAAGTAGATAAATAGGGACCACTTCAGTGGGAAGGTAACAGCGTTCCGTGCGCCTTGGTGTTTAGTCATGCCGGCCACATGACCACGGAAACGTCTTCGGACAGCGCTGGCTCTCCGGCTTTGAAACGGAGATGAGCACCGCAACCCTAGAGTCGGATTCGACTGGCTTTCGAGCAAGGGAACCTTTACCTTTACTATAATCCTAATTTTGGCACTTCATATTTTAACCTTACTGCAGCTCCTACTAGATATTAAATGTATACTCAGTCCAACAGACACATAGGTCCTCAGGTATGCACAGAATAAAAATGTTGAATCATCTCATACAACTAACTCGATACAATTCCAGAAATAAGCAATACCATCTCATACATGATTACCATTCAAGCCTACATAGAGCTTCTACACCACACATAATCAAACACATGCTACATATCCACCGAGCTAGGATTGCTCTCCAAAACGTTCTTGAAGAAATAGAAGCAGCCTTTGGAAAAGCCACAAAGGAACTTACCTGGCTGGCCTCTAATGGGAGGGAAATCCACAAAAACAGTACCACCACTGAAATAAACCTGTTGTTTGTCACCATTTTTTTAACCTCTAGTTGACCTGGTGTTTGCAGAAAGGTTCCCCCCATGACTTTGGGGGAAAGACTCATATAGTTGGACAGGAGTCCAAAAGATTTGGAAAGGACTTTCCAAAGGATTTTTTAAAAAACCCAAAAACCACGTACCGCATTGCTCTCAGTGCAGTTTTGTATGCCAGTTCAGCATCATGAGGTAGGAGAGAGGTGAAGAGATACTTGGCAAATGTGTGCATTGGAACACTCTCTCGATGGATGATTTCACCTAGACCGCTATAGGGCCCGGCTATGAGGAGAGGGGAGGGAAAAAATAAACAAAGTCTTATTAACAGCAGTGTGACTTTAACGTGCATAAGTACTAAAAGTTAGCTAGAAATATTGTAATAATCCTTGCAAGAAAAAAACACTCACAGTGAAGAGAAATAAGCTCTCTGGTGAGGGGTCCTCTAAGTAATGTGCAGTACTAAAAGAAAACGGCGGTGATAAATATATCTCATTGAAGCAAAAATTAAGGTGGCCTGGCTATAGCTTGTCTTTGCAGGGTTCAGAAAGCCCAGAGCTTAAAGCAGCACGTGTTAGCTCATACATTATGGAAAGAATTTGAAAAGCAGGCTATTTGACACAGTACATCTTAAAGTCTTCAACATGTAGCAACCTCATTACTGGAAAGCAAAGTTTCCACATGTTGACATTAAAGTTACTGCCATGATAGGCATATCATGAACCGTCAGAACCTGAAAACTGCCCTTGCCCATAAGCCATGGCATAAGGTGCTAAGAATAGACCAAGAAGCCTTTCAACCACATATCAAAATCTGCCTATGAAGCCCACCCACAGAACCCTCCAAAGTAGCCAAACAATACAATGTGGGTGACCTTAGAATGAGGGCATGGGAGTAAAGCTTCACAGGGAGATTTATTCTTGGGAATCCAAGGTTACTGAATTCTGTCAGCTCTGCTACTTAACAGGAGATGCAGGATTATTTAACCTTGGACTCTACAGAGATAAGAATGCTCTACTAATGAGCTAAGTGCCATGGTACTGATGCACCCCCAGCACCCTGCTTCTTATTATTTCAGTGTATCTCTTTTAAAAGCTGACATCTAAACTTCAGAACCAGGAAGTGCCAAGCATTACAAGACTGGGTAACTGTGTACTCCTAATGACCCCATGGAAAACCTAAAGGGTCACCTGAAAATAAACTAGAAGATTCTATTCTTTGATGTAAAGAATTTGGCATGCGGTGTTAACCTTAAAGAAAATCCAAGCACTTGTTCTTTAAACAGCCTTTAAGTGTGGGCCAGACTGGACATATTTTTAGAAATTAAAGACTCAAATACTTTGTACAGGGTAGAAGAAGAAGAAGAAGAGAAGAGATTGGATTTATACCCCGCCCTTCGCTTGGAGTCTCAGAGCGGCTTACAAACTCCTTTCCCTTCCCCTCCCCACAACAGACACCCTGTGAGGTGGGTGGGGCTGAGAGAACTTTGACACAAACTGCTCTTTTTCAAGGACAGCTGTGCCAGAGCTTGTGACTGACCCAAGGTCACATCAGCAGGTGCAAGTGGAGGAGTGGGGAATCAAACCCGGTTCTCCCAGATTAGAGTCCGCACACTTAACCACTACACCAAACTGGCTCTCTACACCATTCAAACAAATGACATGCATGCCAGTTGTTACAAGTACTGGATATAGCAAACTACTATCATATTTAGCTTCAAGTACCTCAGAGTTGCATTTTATCCTCACAATAACTCTCCAAGTTAGGTTCAAGCTAAGAGGGAATGACTGGCCACCAAAGTCACCCACTAAACCAACATAAAATGAACTACGTTTTTACAATCACCAAATAAGACTTTTAGTAGTAAAGCATGACCTGGTGGTACAGCATTGCTAGTAAGGTTGTACGCCAAGTCGTGGTGGAAAGCGCCGTCACATCGCAGTCAACTTATGGTGACCCTGCAGAGTATTCAAGGCAAAAGATGAACCAAGGTGGTCTGTCATTGCCTGCCTCTGAGTAGCAGCCTTGGAGGTCTCTCATCCAAGTGCTAACCAGGGCTGAACTTGCTCAACTTCTGAGATCTGATGAGGCTGGGCTAACCTGGGTCATCCTGGTCACAGCTGTATGCCAAGTACCCTCTGCTAAAACACCAAACCACTACTAAGGGATCCAAGCTTTTTCAGAACAACTAACTGTTTTTAGATACTCATGTGAGAGTCTGAAAAGGATGGGCTGACTTTACCATGGTGAAATACATGGCTGTGCATTTGTTTTGCTTGATTGTTCCTCTACTGATGTCACTGGATTTCATCTGTTCTCCTGCACCAGTTTGAGGCACAATACAACACACCACCTTTTTTTTGGCAAGTCCATCAACAATGCCATCCTAAGCAGAGTTACAGTCTTTTAAGCCCACTGACTTCAATGGACTTAGAAGGAAGAAACTATGCTTAGGAGGGCACTATAAGATACTAATATACAATTGATGAGTATTACAACTACTGTGCCTGGGTGTGGAATTCTGCTTAAGAGGGTTACTGAAATGACTTTGGGTAGTCTCCAAACTCCTTTTCTGCAAATGGAAACGCAACTGGGGAGTAATTTACCCCAATTCTTCCTTCTAACTATAGAAACCGACAACATTCCCAACAGTCTCCACATTCTCAGGTGCAGCAGGCTAACAGTGGGAAGGAGACAGCAGGAAAGATCCCAGGGCATGTTTAAACAGGACACATTTTAAAAATCTTTGGTACAAACCATTTGTGTACTCAAGATCTTTCTAGCAGAGCAACTTAACATTCCCAGCCCTTATATGCTAGTCAGGACACACGGGGTGGTGGTGGTGGTCACAAAATGCATACACAAGACCTTTCCATCTCTGCATCAGTGCAATATTCAAGTATAGTAGATTGGGGGTTGATGGCAGATCTATAAGAGCCATTAGACGCCTAAGAGGGTGATAATTACCAGATAATCTTACTCCCAAAGGAGCACCTGGTCTTTTTTATCAGAAACCGTTAAAAGAAGCAGCTACCATCAATAGCCAGCTACCTTCTAATAGGAAGACTGCTTGCTTTTGAAAAATCTTCACCAGCGTGTCATCAAGTTCGATTTCCTGTAGCTTTGAAATCAACTGCTCCTCATTCCGACAAACTTTCTCTTGTGCATACAAGCCGTCTGGCATGATCCGCTGCTGCCCCAGTCCAATCAGTGCTACTTCCACAGCCAGCGTTACGTAAGACTCTCCTTCTTCTAAGAACTTGTGCACAGGCAGGTGATAGTACTCCAGAGATTTGCACTGGCCCATATTCTCTGGAAAGAAAGTTGTAAGAGGAAATAGACCATTAAACGTTTATCTGCACTTTCACACCTTATTTATGCTGGGGTGTGTGTGTGTTGCAAGTTTTTCTAATTATCTGTGAAGTTTCCATAAAGTGCAATAAAAATATCAAGTCCTAGTTTTCGCTTGCATCAACTGCGAGGCAAGTGGCAGGATAGAAAAAACCTGCAGAAATCAGACTTGGAAATTAAGCTACTCAGTATTATTTCCAATACCGTTCATGCACTTGGCCAGTACAGTCTGATTAACTATAAGCATGCACCGTATTAGGGGCTATAAATACGCTTACCTCTCCCTTCCCCAGTTACCTGCAGTCTCCTTGTCCATATTTTTCTGCTTGTGTGCCATTAACACTTTCATGTTAAATAATCTACAGTGTGAGGAGGCAATGTATATATACCCAAATGGAATGCACCAGCAGAAAACGGCTTGGTGCTTATTTTGACGTGTCCATTGCATCTTTGGAGCGGTTCATTCCCCTGAATGCTTTGTACACATAATGCAGCAAAGTAACATATCTGATTGCACTGTGCTGAGGTCTGAAACTGCCACAGGTTATCACTTTTACCCATGCAAGGCAAGAATGCTCAAATTTGACTATATGAGCTGCTGATTGCAAAGGAATGTTCAGCAAATTATTACCTCATGGTTTTGTTTTATTGTATGTTACCTGGATGTTACCTGGAGTAGAGTAAGTCATAAAACATCTAGCTCAGGCATTAGAAGCCATACAAAAACAGAGTATTCCTTTGGGGACTTGCTGAGCATTTATAAAAGATTTTAAATTAAATTTTGATGGTTTAAATGAAGTCTCCTGCCTCCCCCTGCAAATTGTGGAAGCAGAGTAGTCTATCCCCAAAGACTGAACACTATTCACCAGTAGCACAAAGTTTATGTGGCAGATTCTGCAGTTTAAACTGGATAATCACTTCTCTGTGGCTACAAGAACCAGTCAAATCAGGAAGTGGGAGTCCCTTAGTCCAGCACCAAAGAATGATTTCATTGCCTTTGATTTATGTTAAGGAGCAGCACCCAGTACAAAGAGCTTAATTTTCAACACCAGCAATGAATATCATTCACAATGATGGCTTTTTATAATTAGATTAACATGAAGTACATAACAGCTAAGGAACAGCAAGAAGAAGGGCCAAAACAGAGGTGATGTGCCTGGCACACAGGAACCCGACTGAGGACTGCAGTATTCACCTTTCCCACCTATGCTGTCCCCTGGAACAGCCCTGGGAAATATTATTTGCCCACTGGGGCCAGCAAGAGTCATTATGTTAGTGAGCATGGACTGAATTTCAACAGCCTTATTTAATCCGAGTTTATTTTATATACAGCATTTCTAAGCCTTTATCTACAACATTTTAAAGTCACCTTTAAGTCACTTTTCCACCCACCTTAGGGTCCCCCAAGGCAGCGGACAATAAAAACATTAAAACATGATTAAACTTATATACACAAAAAATTAAACCGATCAGGATGTGTATTTTCTGGGGAAATCTGAATTGGAAAAGGTTTCAGTTCAAATTTGGATACATAAATATGTAAATAATGTCAGCAAAAGGAGCCAAATACACCATGTATGAGCCTAGACTATGTTACAAGCACTGGCATTTGCCCCTGCTTCATATCCCACATTTAGCCCATCTAACACAACTGATGTGCAGCACAACAGCCCTGACAAGTATAGACAGACTATATTTACATAAATGGGGTGGAAGTTTTTCCCACAAAAAAATCTAGCCCTGGAAAATCTGGATATTTTTTTTTACCCCCACATTGCTGAAAGCAGTGAAACAAAACAGAAACACAGGAATGGAAGGAAGTTTTCCCCTGTAAGTGAAAGAACATGATAGCAGGGGATAGATGAATTTCCTTTGATTTCAAATCAAGCAGAATTAGTGCCAACATCTGCTTTGATTTTGAAGCTACCTGGACTCCAGAGACAAGAAAAGAACTTTAAAATGCTCGATAAAATATACACAGTATGACTGCAACTGTGTTTTACCTGTGAAGTCTGAGAACACATGGAAGCTCTCTTCATCCACCCTACAGGCTTCCATAAGGCTACTGAAGAGAGTACCAATTGGGTCCAGTGGGTGTCCAACCCAGCCTTCTAGGTTAGTGATAGAGGTTACTCCTTTGTGGAGAAGTTCTACATCAGAAAAACAAAAGCAACTTTATCACCACAGTGCATTTGACAAGTAACCCTTCATAGTTTTATCCAGCACTAGAGAGGAGAGATGTGGCTGGGGTTTGAACCCTATTGTTCCAGGCAAAAATTCCAGTATCCAAGAACTCAGTGCAGTTTCTCTATACTGACAGTAAAAGAACCTTGGGCTGGACCCAGCTCTCAGCTAAAGGCACTGAGGGTCGCCAATTTTTCCCATGATACCTTCCCAAGCAGTCTTTTCCAACCCCTGGAAAGTTTATTCCTAGGATCACAGGACTCATATGGATTAATAGCCACATGGGTCAGGAGGTTCCTCTAGAGAGAGGGAAGGAGACAAAATCACCCTGCTGATAGAAGAGGGAGAAGAGAGCAGTTTTCAGTTCTGCAGTTTCCCATGACCCTGGGAATAAACTTCCCTGGGGTCAGAAAGGACTGCAATAAAGATCAGTGATCCTTGTCTCCAGGATTGCTGGATCCAGACCCTTGACTTAAAAACAAACTTGCCTAGCAGATGAAGTTCACAGGTTGTCCCACCCACCTGACCTGGAATGAATAGAGGAATAGAAAGCTAGGTGTAGTTTTGTGTATAAGGAAGCAGTGTCTTAAAGTCCACCATAATTTATGCCTACCATGCCTTAAAACTGCCTGCCCTAGTATCTGTGGAGGACAACTTGATAATAAAGCAGCTAAGCTTTCTTTAGGGTCACGGCTGAAGGGTTTATAAACAGGAAGCAAACTTGTGGTATGCTCTGCAGAGATAGCTATTTTAGCTTCCTGACTGAGAAAAACAAGGAACACTATTTTAACCAGCTAATCCTGTGAAACTGGGGGTGGTGGAGGGAGGGAGAGAACCACGCATAAGACAATTTTTAAATTACTAATTAGCTGGGGAGGGGGGCGCTAGGTCTGATTTGCAAACTGAATTGGTCCCTTGTGGTCAGATGAACCAAAATGATCAACATAAATGGGTTTGTTGCTGGGGTCTGCAGACTGGCAAGGGGCACACTTCAACCTGGAGATCAGCCTAAGATGACCAGAATTTGTGCAATGGTGGACTGTCCCAGAGAGCCCAACAATAATGTGGCAGTCAACAGGGCAATCTTCCAATGAAAGGGTCATCGGGAGAGGTGGGGAATTTGATAATTGCTTGCTCCATTTGCCCCTCCCCCCAGAACCAACCTGAAGATGCCCTTAAAATCATAGCAGGGATCACTGGGACAGTTTCCTATGGAGAGGTTGTGGGAGACGGCTTCTAGTTCCACCCTCCAGGCATCCCACCAAATTCCTGCTTACAGGGGAAGGATGAAAATACTCTCTGGCATCAGCCAATGAGAGGCTCTGAAACTTCAGGGGAGGGGGGAGAGTTAAGTGGAGGGAATGCCTGTGATCTCCTCATCTTGGGCTTAGGGAAGCAACAGAGAAACAGTGAAAACTACCAGGAGAATAGTTAGGTGGCTAGGTTTTCCAGGTAAACAAAGACGTCTCAGACATTTATAGTTTGGGTACACAGGGCTCAGAGGCCTATGGAGAGGCAGGAACAGAGCTAGGGTTGCCAACTCCGGGGTTGGAAACACCTAGAGATTTCAGGATGGAGCCCAGGAAAGTAGGGTTTTGGGAGGGTAGGGACCTTGGTAGGCTATAATGCCATATAGTCCACCTTCCAAAGTAGACATTTTCTCCAGGAGAAGTGGGATAAACGTTTTAAATAACTAAACAATCTATGTAGATCAGTTGTTAATGCCAGGAGAGCTACAGCCTCCACCTGGAAGATGGCAACCCTAGATAGAACAGGTATCCTATGCTGCCTTAGGGAAATGGCACGTTAGTGAACTGTGACAGGACTAAGGAAAACAACCCACGAAACAGGCTAATAGTACATCAAGATTCTGAGATTTTTGGGTTTCGTGAGTAGTTCCAAGAAAAATCCTTTTCCCTCTATCACTGGAACGACCTGTCATTGCTGTAAAGCTGTTTGTGTGAAACGTTATCTTTTCTAGAGCAGAGGTTCTGCCTTACCATAAAGAGATGATACCTTGTTACACTCCTTGACTTATCCACTAAATCACGAGCGTAAGACTTTCTAAAGAAGAGAGCAGCTTATTTTTTTGCACTGTGAAGGTGTTGTGAATCACTCCACGAGAAGAGGAGGCAGAAAGCAATAGAAATTACCTCAGACTACTATTCTGCCTCCCTAGACTTCCTCTGTAATAGCAGCATGTAGTAAAGCACAGTCAACTGTTAACATTGTCTTACTGACCACTCGCAACACACACTGTAACTAAAAACAATTCAGTCGCTGCTATGGGGCAAGCGTGATGCGCGCAACGGTGGGGAACTGAGGAAAGTGCCAGGCCATCACAGAGATACATTCAGCTAACGTTACCCATATCTGGCCTCACAGTGAAGGGGAACAGCAGTGGAAACAGCAGCATGACCCTGCAGGTCTTTGACTGTAGGTCTCCAAATCCACAACTTTATTATTTGTTAATGTTTTTGTTTCTTAGGAATGGGCTAGCTATTACAGAGTAAACAGAACTATTGTTCAGACAACTGGAGCCCTGATATAAGCAGCTAAAGGCTCACAAATTCTTTATCCATGAATGCAGTAGACTGTAAAGTTGGTACTGAAATTCTGCCCAAGTATTTCTCTTTAAATACCACAACGGTTTCAGTTAAAATATACAACAACTAGGATGAAATGGCAAGATACCACAGAAAATTCTCTTAAGCCTGTTCAGGCCCTGAAAATGATCATGTGTACAACTCCTCCATTTGAAATCTGACGCTTCTATCCTATGACAACAATGGACACAGAACAATTAATTTTAGCTGTTTGCCGTGTAGCAGCTGGAAATGGGGAACCTCCGTGTTGTGTGTTTTACTAACTTTTAATACAAAATTTTTGTACGCTGTTCAAATGGCAGCTAAAGGGTTTTTAAATAAAAGAGGCCATGTGAATGCATTGTGTTCATTATCAATCAAAACAAATCCTACACATACCAAGGAATACAGGGCGACACATGCAGAGGTGCACCCCTCTCTGAAATCTGTTCCCAACGCCATTGGGGATGCTGTGTCCATGTGCATCAAATTTACACAGGAGGGGCAGGACAGCAAAGCTGATGGGGAGGGCAATGGACTAGCTCTCCTTCTACATTGGCTGACTTCATATACTACCATGTTGATTGCAGCTCTGTACACACATGTACATATGTAGGTGCTGTGTCTAGATGTGACAAATGGAAGCCCCAGGTAGTAATATTTCATAGACACAAGGCTATTAACACCCTCTGCAGGACAGCCTTATTTCCATTTGTACCAAAAGCAATTGCTCCTGAAACCCCTGGATATAGGTATAGGGATGTGCAAATGTATGGCAGGATCACAGAGAAAGGGTTAAGAGCATACATCCTAATTCTTAGGAATAACAGCCTGTCCCCTTGCCTAAAAATAAAGGGTAGGCCAAATACAAAAGATCTAGCATCAGAAAACATGTTAGCATGGATTATTCAAGACCCCCCCCTCATTCCACACAAACAACGGCTGTTCCACACATCAGAAACAGACATAAGTTTGTCACCAAGTTTACACTCAACAGGAACTCTGAACCAATCCTGGGTTTCCAAATGTGCTCATTTGTATAGTATGCATGTTTTCAAACATCTGTGTCACAAACTCTCTGTACGTTTAAAAATCATGGGCATACATGGAAATACAATGCATGAAGAGTCCCCAGCAATGTAAGACAGAATATTTATCAAATTCGTTTATAGCTAGACCTTCTAAGCTGGCTGTTTTGCCAACAAATTTCTGTTTCTCTGAAATATGTTGAACAACTCAGACTCCAAAAGCTCCAAGCTAGCAATAGGGCCCTGTTGTGATCATTATTTTTATCAAGAGCTACAGAGAGACTGTCTGAACTCTTACACAGCACTGGTCAATTAACCCGCTCTCACTCCCAGTTACTGTCAATCCCTGAAGTGAGTCACCTGCAGCGGTGCAGTCTCAAACAGCACTTCCTTATTGACTTGGCACCGTTCCAGCTGTACCATCACCTTGCTGTGTCCTTTACCCTTCTCTTGCCCACATTTACCTTTCTTCTGAAACCGGAACATTTCCAGCTGTTTCTGTTGCTGCCTCCTTAGGGTATTAACAATAGCTATCGCCAGTCGCAATGCTTCTCTCGGATAGCCATGAGACCTTAATGCGTCCACCCTTGCACAGGCCGTAGGCACATGTTCTGAAAGAGGGGCAGAGAGAAAGAAAGGGGAAACAGTTATTAAGGAGCACATCCACGTCTGCAGTAACCCCATCTCAGTGGGCTATTGAAAGGGTTTTGTTTAAAATCTCTGGAAACAGGACTGCCAACAGACCATTTGAAGGGAAGCTCTGTTGCTATTGCCAGACCTTTCATTCCACTCCCCCCCCCCCACACACAAACCAAAAAACCCAGCACCATAGAAACTGAACAAAGCACCAAGTCATGGAAACGTCTTTCCGGTTGAGCCACTTACCGTGCCAGAGGGGCCACCCGTGAGAGTCAAAAAGCGAGTTTTCAGCATCATCATGGTAACAGTAGTTGGTGTACAAGTCACTGCTGATTATGTGCTGCAAGTGGCTGTCCTGCCAGTGGAGATCACATGCCTCAATGGCTCGAGTGAACACTGTCCGGTGAGACCTGTTTGATGAATCTGTCAGGCCCACAAGTTCAGAGAAGTTGAGTCTATTCCTCCATGTGGCAATGTATCATTACTCACTTCACCTTACTCCTCTCCTCCAACCCTTCCTCCCGTGACTCCTCATATGTTCTTCCAGTGAGCAGACCCAAAGCATTGCAAAGTTCTCTATGCACTGAGCCTATTTACAGTTCTACAAAAATAACCAGGTTCTAAAACTGTTGGACTTAAAAGCTAATTAAAGGCTGCCCATAAAGGTCAAAACTCATCCTGCCTTTGAAGTGCATACATGGCAAAATAATCTAAATGTTTAACCAAGGAGAAAGATTTCAGAAGGGCCCAGGAAATCCATTTCTTAGGATCATTACAGGTTTATATGCCAAGAAACAGAAACTATACTTGCTGAGCTTCTACTGGAGCTTTCAAAAGTTTTATAGCATCCCTTGGAGTCAAGAACTGCAGGGAATTGCACTAAACTTTCAAACAGTGCAAGAACTTTGCTTCTCCGCTCCAGATTTGGACCCACTGACGCAGGACCCTAGGACTCCAGCTATTCTGCTGTAATGCTTGCCGGAGTGTTACAGAGGAGTAACTGCAGGTGTCACAAACTAACTGCATGGGGGGTGGGAGAGGAAATAAAGTATCACAGATAGTTACATAGTGAATGCCATCTCAACCAGGCTCCTGGTGCTTTTACAGAATTAGTATGAAGGTTTTTTTGCCATTCACTATTCAGCAAGCAAAAAGTGGCTGGCAGAGAGAAATCCCAGAAATTTCAAAGCAACACCCCTTAAGAATTCAGTACATATTGAAATACATCCCCCATAGGAATGTTATGATGTTACAGAAGGATTTAAGAAAGAGGCTGTAAGTGCATGTGCCTTGAGCATCCAACACCACCCAAATGTACTTAGTAACACCAGTTAGGAAGGTGACAGCAGAGCCACTAACTCTGCCCTTTCTCACAACACTGAGTAGATTTTTTCCCAGAGCACTCCTAAAGGGAGGAGGCCACATCATATGTAGCAATGGCAAATAGAAAGAGTTCTACTAGCTGCAACATCGCCTTGGCCCTCAAAGTGGACAGGATCATACAGAAAAAATATTAGAAACATATTTTTGGTATTTGATCTATGACCAGTTCAGGGAAGTAGCAGATGCCGCATAATATGCTGTATCAGGCATGCGCGTTAGATTTTTCAAGAATGACCTGAAATGCTTTCAGTGGTTAAGAAAGCAAGCGGTAAAGTACACAGATTTTGGAAGCTTAGTTCCTTTTCACTAAAGACTTGTGGTTTGCCATCCATCTTTCACATGGGCATGAAACGTGGAAAAAAAATTACAAAGCAAAGAAAATTGTACAAGCATACTATTTAAACAGTATTTCCTGAGTAAATTAATGGTTGGCTCACCTTGGATTGCATTTGCACCCTGAGGCAAAGCATTGGTTAGACTGGGCAGATCATTTCCATGGTTCCCATCTTCCCAGGGACAAACATCAACATTGTTCCATTTTTTCAGCTGCTTCAACCAACTGGCCTTTTGCTCCATCTTGCAATGGGGATTTAAGACTATGCACATCCAAAGAGCACCTATTGAGACAAAACCAAATGGGGCACATTACCTTAATTTTAAGAAAAGTGCAACAACTTAAGACCATTTATGCCTACAAGCCAACATTAACCAACCTATCACCTCATGTATATGGCACAAATGCTTTGGTGTTCTGAAAGCTAAAAGAAATCAGGTCTCACTGCAGACACACATAAGTACTCAGTCCACAGCAGCATGATGTAAGTTCATCAGCATCTTCAGTGAACCCAGGACAACTACTGTGAAGTGTCCACAGTACAGAAAATCAAAATGTATGCCAAAAATAGTTATTTTTACTCCCCTACACTTGTATTTGGAAAATACCAAAAATGCCATACTTAGGAAGTGCTAGACAATTCAAAGATTCCAGCCTACAAAGATAAGAATATAAGTAAACACAAATCAGAAGCTTCCTTCTTTGACCTGTAAGGCAGCAATGAAAACTGACAACAAATCCTATTTCACTGCTGTCATTATACCAGCTAATTCACACCCAACTCAACTGTTCAAAGTAGTGTGCCACTTGCTGACCCTGAAGTCTGAACTTCTCAATTCACAGGAACTAATGAATGGTGTGATGCCTTTGCCAAGTTCTTTGCTGACAAAATCTCTCAAATACATTCTGATTTGGAAGCTGGTTACAATAGAGTGGCAATACCTGAAAGAACAAAGTTTGAGTCCAGTGGCACCTTTAAGATCAACAAAGTTTTATTCATGGTATAAGCTTTCAGCTTCACAGTACAAGCTTTCAGATGCCTGAAAGAACACCTAATGCATCATCTGGTCCATTTCTGGATCATTTTGAGCTGCGGTGGCTCAAGTGGTTAAGATGCTGAACTGCAGGCTGTGGAAGGTCGGTAGTTCAGCAGTTCGAGACCCAGGTGCCGCATGACAGAGTGAGCTCCCATCTCTAGTTCCAGCTCCTGCCAACCTAGCAGTTCGAAAGCAAGAAATTGCAAGTAGATAAATAGGTACCACTTCGGTGGGAAGGTAACAGCGTTCCGTGCGCCTCGGTGCTTAGTCATGCCGGCCACATGACCACGAAACGTCTTTGGACAGCGCTGGCTCTTCGGCTTTGAAACAGAGATGAGCACCGCAACCCTAGAGTCGGATTCGACTGGCTTTCGAGCAAGGGAACCTTTATCTTGACCCACTAACCACAATGGATATCAACAGGACTGTAAGACCTATGAAGAGCACCACTTCTACACTGGAGTCATGTCCTTCTTGACTGCTGAAAGCATGTAAGGGCCATATCAATGAAGCCCTGATGTACATCATAAAATCAATCACTGAACCACGGATCATTCCCCAAATCAATTAAAACAGGCAGTCATTTGTCCCCTGCTTTAAAAAAAACCCCATCAGCAGAGAAGAATGATATGGCCAATTATTACCTGGTCCAACCTACTCTTCCTGAGTAAGATGACTGCGAGAACAGTAAAAGAACAACTAATCTGCCCTGGACTCCTTTCAGTCTGCCTTCAGACCATACTACAGAACAGAGATAGATTTGGTGGCTTTTGATGATCTCTGTTTGAATGCAGACAAAGGCTGTGCCTCTTACTTTTGTTCTTACTGGATTGATCAGCAGCCTTGGATATGGTGGACCATGCCATTTTACCAAGGCATTCAGAAGAAGCTGGGATTAAGGGATGTGCCTTGGACTGGCTTACACTGTTCCTTACAGGTAAAGGGGTCACTTTTGGAGACCAACTATCACCAGGGTGGGATTTGACTTGCAGGATTCCACAAGGCTCATTCATGCTTTTGTATCTATATAAAGCCCTTCAGAGAAATCATTGACAGTTTTGGAGTTGTTGTTCAGTCGCACAGTCGAGTCCGACTCTTCGCGACCCCATGTACCACATCACGCCAGGTTTTGGAGTAGGCTATCAATATGCTGATGACACCCAGGTCTATTTCTCTTTATCCAAATCACCTGGTGATTCTACCTTGAACCAGTACCTTTCTGCTTTGGTTAAGTGGTTAAGAGTGAGCAAGTGGAAAGTGAATCCTGGTAAGAGGGAGGTAATGGAAGAATGAGGTCTTGTAGAACACTGCACTCCCCATTTTTGATGGGGTTCTGCTGACATGCTCTGATTCAATTAACAGCCTAGGAGTTATACATTCAGCATTACTACTAGAGAAGCCAATCAATGCAGCCTCAAAAAATAAGAAAAAAAAAATTCCTATCAGCTTCACATAGCCTGACAATTGGCCCTCCACTTTGACTTGACTGATCTGGCCATGCAGATCCATGCCGTAGTTACCTCGAGGCTGAGCTACTGTAATGGAGTCTACAAGGGTCTTCCCTTGAAGTCAGCTTCGAAACTCCAGCTGGGACAAAATGTGGCCTCCAAATTACTAGGAGACACCAGGCAGAATATCCATGCCACACCCATCCTTCAGCCGCTAAACTGGGTATTGATCGAGTACCATTCTCACTTCAAGATACTAGTTATCACCTACAAGGCTGTTCATGGCCTAGGACCCACATACCTGCAGGACTGTGTCTCCTACTATGCTCCACCAAAGTAGCTTCAGTCATCTGAAGAGAACCTTCAAAAGTTCCTGCGTGCAAACTGGTAAGATTGGCAACAGTCCCCTCATAAATACTCAGTGTGGTGGCTCCCACCTTGTGAAACGGTTTACCTGGGGCCTGGATGGTTCCTACAGTACTATCATTTCACAAAATATGTGCCAAGGTGTTCAGGAGGGCATCCTTGTAATGAAATTAGATCTATGGTGGGACAGAATGGTCCAGGAGGCTGCCTTCATATGGGAGTAGGTACTGCATTGTCTTACGCCTTTGCAATCCCACATTCTGTACTGCCTGCACCATACTATCTTGGGCAGTCAGATGTTCCCCCCCATCATTTAGTTTTGTATTGTCCCACATTCTGCACTGCTTGCACTATACTATCTTGGGCAGTCAGCTGTTCCCCCCATCATTTAGTTTTATATTCCTAGTCCTATTACACTGTTTTATTGTATTTATTCCATACCTTACAGATTATGGTCACATTGCTGCTTGCTTTCTTCATTTTTGTACTCCTAGCCATATCTGCATTACCCATTCAGTGACCTATATACAGCATGATTACTTTTCTCTCGTTGTGTACTCTTGTAATCTACCTTGAATTTCAATGAGAAAGGCAGGCTAGAAAAAAGCTAAATAAAAAATTATCTTACTTCTTGTAGTTAGATACTAGAAGGACAAGTCAGAAGTATTTCTAGGAGGTCTGGTTACCCTGCAGTACACTCCATGAGAGAAATACTCAACATCCAGCGTGTCTAAAGCAATGCTTTCTTTTTTATTCTTTTTCGAAACAGAGATTCAGTTTGTAGCTATTCATGCAATTATGTCCCAGACAAACATTACAGAAGTAATTTCTGCTGACACTTAACTCTGAACTAATGCAGGAGATATGTCTCTCACACACCATGCCTGAAGAGGCATGCATATATCAGGAACTTCTGCAACATTTTAGAATACAACATTATTGCTTATGTCTTACTGCTGTGGCAAACACTTGACAACCTCAGTGAAGACATCAACAAGTACTATTCAGCAACACTTCATTTGTTCATCAAGGAAGCGTTTTTACACACTTCAGAGACCTGCAGGATCCACTAAATTGAATGACAGCCTTTCAGAGGAGGAGATGCAACAGCCAAATGTGGCTAACGAAGAATGCAAATATGGATTGTGCAAAAAGGGTTGCCCTATCATGTTGATTCTCAGAAGCAAAATCAGGACGGAAAGCAGGTAATACATTAAACAATCTGAAGGCCTGATCATGTTAAGAAACAGTTGGAAGAAAACAAAACAATCCAGCAGCTTGTATTATACTCCCTTATATGCACTATTTACAGCATTTGCAGTGTTTCACACGTGATGGGGCATCACAGAATTAGTGTTTGCATCAGACAATTGGTATTCAATCAGGAGAGCCACAGCCTCCCTTCAGTACAGTACTCTTCAGCATGGAATACCCTGGCTCCACATGGTGCTTTCAACCTCCCCTTAAGATGCTTTTGCTGGACTTACCATAATGCAAAGCTGGGTGTTGTTGAAATCTAAGTTCAGAAAGACTGTAAGACTAGTACATTTGCAGTGGCTAATCTAAGAAGTCATACTGTACTGGTTTTAGCTCCCTTAAGATTTGACTGCATTCTAGCGATTTCAAGACCACTCAGTCCTTGGCAGCCAAAAAGATGCACTGCTCTTCCAATGTATACTACGGTGACAGCATCACAGTATGAAGATGCTTGTGTATGGCAGACCCTCCATGCAGACCCTCCCACTATCAGGCTATGGATGCTCAGCCCCAATGCTATTTTTCCAGTGTGGGCGGTGGCTCAGTATGGGTCCTGCCAAGGTCCTAGGAGTCTCAAACTGTTCCTCTCTCCATGGAAGCAGAAGAAGTGGGAGGGACTGATCCGTAACCTTGTGGAGAACCTAGCAGGATTCAAGCTTTTCCTCCTGCTCTCCCATGAGTCTCACATTCCCAAAGACTAAAAAAACACTCTACATGTTTCTGCATGGTAGTCTCAAGAGAGATTTGCAAGACCCCTTTAGCTATCCACACATTTACATGACCCGCCGCCCCATACAACAAAACTGGAAGCTCAGAACCTTGAGGGCAGCTAGAATTTGGAGACGCACGACTCCAACACATACGGCCACGTATCCAAGCTTTTTCTCAGCAGCAGTTCACCCTTCTCTATGACATTTTCCTGGTTGCAGAGGCACACACACCATAAACCAATATGCAAATTTCATATTTCCCTGAAGATAATTGGAAGACGCATCATGCTGTGACTGCAATTTGGTATTAATTTCACACAAGGGAAAGAATATTAAAGCTGTCACATCCTAGTGAGGCATTGTCAGTTCCAGTTCCACAATCACTCTCTTGACCTGAATAGGAGGTGGCTCCACCGCATCAGACCTCTCACTCCAATGCAGACATTACAAAGGCAGAGCAGGCTC